TACACACCGATTCTTCACTGCTTAATATTATATGTCGCGCTTAATATTATATGACGTTACGATCGATGAAGTTTTCGTGTGGATTTATCTCAGCTCTATTAATAATTAACAAACAACACACTGCCTCTTTGACTCGCAAACTCACCTCTCTTCTTCCACTCAAATCCACTCGATGACTTCCGATCCCATTTCATTACTTGGAACGCTACATCGCGATTATTCCGTTTTTCGAGGGTTTCCACTTCTAGAGGGCTTCCGACTATACACCTTACGACGCCACCAACTCAACGTAACACCGTTTTCCCGTTATTCTGATCGTTTCGATTAGAAAACATGTAACCACGAAATGCTTCCCTTTGCTCTCACATCGGAGGTGGACCGGTTTGAAATCATCTCAAACGAGGTACCGATAATTCTAATCATGCCTTATCGAAGCCCACTTTTCCAACCCGGCTCAAAAATCTACATTCTTTCTAGGTCCTTAACTCTCACATTCTTTTGTCTTATTGATCTTCAAGTAGTCAGAAAGTAAAGATTAAAGGCGGATACATAAACCACAGTTACAGACGTGTCTTATTTTAGGAAATTTTAATATCATTTACGGTGATTGCGTTTGGGAAATACAAACTGCGTTTAAAATTGGGCTAGAATTGAACTGGAATTTTTGGTAACGTAGACGTCAAAATGTTATGTCAACAACAGCCTGCGCGACGAACGTCATATGAGCTGAACGTTGCTGTCGTCTGTCTCCGTCACCCCAAACTAATATCATGTCGTTTAAAACATGTGTACCTTCCTATCTCTTTCCATTCTCGAAGAAAAGTCAGAGACCTTAAAACGTGAATGCGTTTCGTTATTTGCATGACGACTAGAACTAATTAAATGTAAAGTTAGATGTCTGCGATAAGTTTCGGGATGTTAATGATTACCTAGAGTGGGAATAAACGAGACAAAACTACATCGTTATAAATTGGCGAACGTCTTCGTCGATCCGCGAGCCGATTAAAGAAAATTTGAGATAAACAATCGTTGTACGGCCTACTGTAACAAGACATTTTGTAACAGGTTTTTTGTGGTAGTCCTTCCCTGGTCAGTAGCCTTTCGTTTGAAAAGAAATTTTGATTAGACGACAAAAGCAGCTAGACAAAGCGAAACGAGTGAGGATCTGGCTTTTCGTGAAACGAAAGGGTCTCTAATGTGGCTTTTTACCGTTTTTGGTTTCGAGCGCTTTAAATCTGGGAATGGCCCTTAATTAGTTGAAAATAATTGTTACTTTTGAATAGATTCATTCCTAGAAACGGTTCTCATTATAAGAAGCGGTAAGTCGTGTCCATGGCAACGCTAAGCCGAAGCTTCTACTTGGCTGTGCTATTCTGCACCCCATTTATGTCAAAATTATATCTCGGCAACGACTTGCTACCATAACGAATACTTTCAGTGGCAGAATATAAAAGCTCTAATTAATGCTCACTCAAACACTCGCGAATTATTTATTCTCTCTTAAAATCGCTCCGAGCGCAGATTAACAACAATCGCCTCGTTTGCAACACAATTATGACGTGATAACATTTTTTGTTTTGTTTTTCCAACCGTATTTATCGTCACACCTGACAGATGATATTATCTCTGCTCTCGGATGCTTTAAACTCCGGCGCTCGCTTAATTTAATAGAGGCAACTAATTCATTATTTAGAGCCAGTTCGGATTTTTAAATCATTCATGGAAATAATTGTCCGCGAGCTACGACAGAAACTTTGACGCCCAACTTCTTTAATTAATTATTGCATTCATTAAACTTCCTTTGCATACTTCCATATCAATTAACCGACACATAATCAGGCTATTAACTTGTTTTGGCAAGAACTTTGCTGTTTGGATAAGAACTAGTCATCGTGGAAGGGTACGTTCCATTTAATTTACTAATTGCTTCCTATTAAACATTAAACGGTAATTAGCACTGCTGCATACCTTCCTTACTCAGACAGATTAATTCGCATATGCAGCGCAATCCTTCGCCAACCGCAAACTTGCAAAAACCCACACACCCCACCATCAGACGCAAGAAATATTTAATTCGAGCGTAATACGACGAGAGCAGGATTATTTTATAAAACGGGGCTGCGTGCTTCTACCAGAAGGAAAACAATTATTCGTATTTTTTAATAAAAATAATACTCATAGTATTCACTAATCACACTATATACGCACAACATTCTGACAACGATGATAAGCCAACACGCCATCTTGGAATTGCTTATTAGTTTTTAATTAGCAGCCATCGCACATTAATCATTTTTATTTTTATAATAAGCACAATGTGTGCTGGGTTCATACAATAGCCGCACTATTTTAATATACGTGAATGTTTAATTATGCTATACTCATGTGACGTGATAAACCTGGTATGGACAATATTATGACTTGTTAATAATAAAAATTAATTTCGAAAAGTATTGGTGGTTGCCTAATCTAACAGCTCACCCTCTTTGACTCACGCCGTTGTTAGTGTCCGCTCCCGCGCGCCTCCTGTTTGCAGAACAAAAAAGTGTACATTTGGGAGCCCCTGTGTATTACGGTAATCTACACTTACGAATACCACGCTACGTTGCGGATAAAAATGACGACTACCTCGTGCATGACGTCACGCATCTTTATGCTCTACTGTTGTACCGGCGACACTATCGCAAAGTACTGGCACTAAACGCAAATTACACACTGACGAAACGGAGACGTAGTAAAAATTAATTCAATAGGAAGTTAAACTCCCACTTCTGAACTGCTGGCTCATTTGAAAGTTATTCTGTATAATATCGATTCGCAGTATCCATTGATCCATTGACATACCCACAAATTGTAGAACTTATGGAAAGGGTAGTGGTGAATCCGATATTTCACGCTTGATTTATAAATGGATGATGTTGAGGGTACCAAAAATAGATGTAAAAATGCAACAAAAAAAAAATGAAACAACATGATATTATTTTATATACAATTTATCATTCTTTTTAGGCCGATTGAGAATGGATTTTTTTTTTTATTAAAAACAGGATGTTTTCTTAATCAAAAATAACTTTTCATACATTCACTTGTCGATACTAAATGGATTTGATCTGAAATTTTCTCTTGGAACTAAAAAGCTTCAAGAAGTCGAATGCTTTCAACTGCAATGCGGATTGCTATGACGTTTTGAAATTATGGCCGATGAAATTTGAAAAAAAAAGGCTTTTTCTTAACTCAAAAAAGACATCTTACATATTCGTCACTCCATACTAAACCGATAGAGTATCCGGTCAAGGAGTCGAATGCTTCAAACTGAAAGGCGAATTATTGTTTTGGAGTTATGTCCCGTTAAATATGAAAAGAGGCAATTTTTTTAACTTGAAAATGACACCTTCTTACATTTTGGTTACTCTATACTAAATCCATAGAGGATCCGGTCTGAAAATTTGCTTATGGAACTAGAAAGCTTCAAGGAATCGAATGCTACAAATCGCAGTGCGGAATCTCGTACCGTTTTGTAGTCATGCCCCGTTGAATTTGGAAAAAAGTTCTTTTTCTTAAAAATGACATCTTCATTCATATTCGTTACCCCTTGATAAATCCACAGAGTATCCGGTCTTAAAATTTGCATCTAGAACTAGAAAGTTTCAAGGAATCGAATGTTTCAAACCTCTATGTGGAATCTCAATCCGTTTTGTAGTTGTGTCCCGTTGAATTTGAAAAAAGGTTCTTTTTAACTGAAAAATGACACCTTACATATTCATTACCCCTTGCCAAATCCATAGTTTCCGGTTTTAAAATTTGCTTATAGACCTAGAAAGCTTCAAGAAATCGAATGTTTCAAACCGCTATACGGAATCTTGTGCCCTTTTGTAGTTACGTCCGGTTGAATTTGAAAAAAGGTTCTTTTTAATTCAAAAATGGCACCTTCTTCTTACATATTCGTGACTCCGTCGTAGACCCATAGAGTATCTGGTCTGAAAATTTGCTCATGGAAGTAAAAAATTTAAAGAAACTGAATGCTTCAAACCGAAACGCGCATTCTTGTGGCCTTCCGGAGTTATGTGTCGTTAAATTTGAAAAAAAAATCGTTGAACGTCATATATTTTGATTTTGCCAAGGTTGGGTCGGGTGCCCATAGTTCGACTTCAGCTTGCTCATTGGAGTATACAAGAAAAAAAGAAGTTTTCTTCTTGTGTCTTTGAGGTGAATATTGAGAGTTCGTACAGTTCCTGGTTCAAGTCGTAAGCGGGGTATTGCGAAGATCAGTACTAGAGTCTTTACTATCGTTAGCATGTACTACCGACAAACCAAATACTGGTAAACCGTATCTGGTTTAATGCGTAATATTTTCTTATTCTGAAACTTTTATGAGTAACGAATATACTCGTAGAATGTAGCTCGGGAAGTATGGTGATCGGGTTTTCTTGACGTTCTATTGCTCTTAGAATATGAAAAAATAGATCTCCAGTTTCCGTCTGTCTGTCATGTGTTGCCTGTTCACGATTTTAGTAGACAAGCAATCTCCGAGACCAGTAGAGAGATTGTTGTGAAATCGTAGCTCTACCTTAAGAATATCTTGTAATCGTAAAATGTGAACTATTACTAAGTATGTAAAATAATAGAAATGTGGCTCGCTTCGCTTGCTGCAAGATCAGTACCACAAAATCGTGTTTTAAAAGTGCATTACCGCGGAAGACGTCCAATATACGCAAAATGGGATCGTTTTTTTAAAGATTTAGCGTTGTCTCATTTCGGCAAAAAGAAGACGTTCCTCTGTGCGTGGCAATTAGGGGTCTGGCACGAAGTGTATATAATGAGTTTGGATAATAATTAGCGCGATGAGGGTATTAAAGCGGTGGGGTTGTAATTGATCAATAGCGCATCATCAAGGGGACGGCCGTCACAACCCCTTGCAGTATATCCCGCTTATGCATTGCATGTATTACCGGCGGCGTTTACCTATTGATTTCAATATTCATGCGCATCTGTTGTTGCAGGTGAAGATCTGGTTCCAAAACCGACGGACAAAGTGGAAGAAGATCGACAACATCTCGAACGCGGAGGCGGCAGAGCACAAGAACCACACGATCCCGAAGGACGGGGCGAAGTCCGACGACGTCAAGTTGCGGACCTACTCGAAGCACGTCAGCCAGAGCTCCAACTCGAGCATGGAGAGCGACTCCAAGAGTTCGGTCACCTCGGGAGCCGACTCCTTGCAAGCTAAATCTTTCAAAGATATTCTGCAAAATTCGCGCACAAACCCGCTGTCTCCCGACCCACACTTCCAATCCCAGATGGACTCTGCCAAAGATGTTCTCTTGAATTTGTCGTTTAACATTAAGGACAAATCCTAAAAGGATGTCTTCTAGTGACAAATTTGTAACACAAAGAGTACAATTCCGTTAGTTGCACATACATATTAGAAGAATATTTTTCATAACTGATTTAGATGTATCGTAACTTCATATTTTGTATGTAAATACCACTATGTTTGTAATGATCCATTTCATGTAATATCATCATTGAATAAACAGATCGTTTCAATATAATTTATTGCTCACTTAAACCACCCCTCTGTTTAATGCGACTATGGTTTTTCCATGGTGGCGCCATCTATTGGAGACTGGTGCAACGTTGAATACTAAAACTGCTGCATTACAGTCACCCTATTCTATCTATGCTTCAAATAACACCGTTTCAACAGATTATAAAATGTACTGTCGGATCTCTGTTCCTGTTAGCCGGAAATTAATAAAGTCAACCTTATTGGATATCAGAGGGGAGGTTATTGTAAGTGGACAATGTGAGACAGACAGACCCTTCTCTCCTGTCAAAAAACACCGCGATAATAGAATATTGTTTATCACACTTTCATGAACGATATACTATTTTGGACTCTTTTGTTGAGAGGTTTTTAATATATAACGCTCCACAAAGTTTCATTTATTTTTCTTTAAATTATACTTATGGACGTTACAAGATGCACATTAATATGTTTGATAAACGAGATAACGTAGTAACTTTTAAAAATAAGGAAGTGTAGAAACAGACACCGAAGTTTTGTTATGTCACCACAAATGTTCCACTGTGCACCGAATTTAATAAAATATGATTTCCGTTGAAGTTGGAAGTTTGATTACAAGCTTCTGTTCTTAAAAAAAAATATTACAAACATAATTTGGTTCTTAAGGGTTGCTTTATCTGAAAAACTTCAGCACATTATATTCTGCTATATGGTTCTTAACTTCTCAATCTATTATATTAATTTAAAATTAAAATTTTTATTTCAGCTATAGGCAACCAATAATTCGTTGTGAATTATCACTAAATTCACTTAATTGCAGTATATATTATATACGCACTGTTCAGCATTTATGGTGATACTCAGTTTCCTCAGTTATACATATTGTTTATTTTTCATAGATATAAGATAGACATAGTTTGACTATCTTTTGTCCAATCACATGACTATAAGTGTAAGAGGTGAACACTGTATTTTGATGTTTACATTTTTAATATGTCCACCCCTTGTTCTTACAAACAAAAGAGAACCTAAGAGTAGACAATAATTGATATCGTGTAAAACAAAAAATTAAGTGTACTATCCCCCCAGTTTTAACCCTTCAAACTAACCGATTCCGTGGTTCGGAGATTGAATCCATATTGAATCAAATCTCGACAGACTATTCTATAAGATGTTAAATACGTCATGACTTACAATAAAAACAATCTTGTTGTTAGATTTTTATTCGCTACATTATTTTTAAATTTTTTGTTCTTACATGGTGTAACTTTTCTTTTACAGTTTTCTTTCCTTTTCACTGAATCCACTGCCACAGTTTTACTATTTTCATCAAGATGCCGCCAGGTACTGGGCACGAATTTCTCATTTATACAGGGTGTTATTGAAAGGTACGTACAAAAAAATTGACAGTTCTTCGCGAAGTCTAAGAAGTCAGAAAAACTTATTTTGTGTTATCAAAATTATAAGGGAAAAATTAACCCTAATCCAACCTTTTTAGACGCTACTGAAAGATAAAAATGTAAAATTAATTTATTTTAGTAAATACTAGCAACTGAACAATAAAACTTTTGTCAAGACTAAATGTTGCTATAGAAACGAGAGATGATCTTTTAATCAGAGGCGTACAACAAATTTGGACATAAATTTTAATAAGTTTTATCTCTAAAAGGAGAACATTTTTACCTGAACTTTTTTTAACTTTTAGCATCCATACGTCGAGACCAATTGTCGATTCTATTTTGTACGTACCTTTCAATAACACGCTGTATTTGAAACTGAATTGTTTGACTTTTGATTTGTTACAATATTTTTAAGCGTTATAAAACACAGTTTTTTAAAGTTAAAAGTACTTGGATTTGTAGAATAAATGATTTTAGGATGTTGTATGTTGTTGTATTTTCAAAATAAAATAAATTCTAGACAGTTTCTAGAAATAAAAAATTGATTTTTTATTTCAATGAATACTTGCTGCCATCTATCCACGGGCTGCCAAAGTTTGCATAATTTAGAACAGTTTTTTTCATTTCAGTTACTAAAGTGTGGTAGTTTTATATAATAGTGGATTTCAATGTAAAAAAGAAAGTATGTTTTAACACACACATTTTATGAAGTACATACATTATTTTCATAATTACAGAGCAGTGTTTACACACGACGTTCTCTAGTTGTGTTAGCTTGTAACGGATAGATGGCACCACTTTCCTACACGTGTTAACATTGTCATCTAATTATAACTAATTTTAATAAAATTAGTAACGTGCATTTGTGAATATTTAATGAATGAAATGGAAATTTTGTTGTCCAGACTCCGTTTGGAACTATAAAATATTTGCTCGTCAGTAATTTTTTTGTGGGTGCATGCAGTTCATGCTCATAAATTTTCATCCACGACCCCGTATTTTTCCTCGTTGGTAAAAAACATTGCAACAATAACCCTGCGACATTTTACAGTCTGGACCAATAAATTCTAAAACTGCTGTTTTGATTCGTGTGGAGTCGATTGGCGAAAATGTCGTAAAACCTGAATACAGATTGTGTACAATGTAAGGAAATGCTTCATATTTGATTTTATACGACCCCGGCTAACCAACGTTTAATTTTTCGCTTTTAACAAAATTAAACTCTGAATTTAAGTCGATTAATTAATGTTCAATCGTCTTGTGATTCTTTGTTTAATTAAAAGTTTTCAAGTTTTTGCCCCTCGAATCGCCGATAAACATGTTTGTTGGGTCTTCTAATTAAAATAATGGAATTTGTTTGGTATTGATTTTGAAATGTGGACGTGTGTAATTGAGGGATTGATGGGGTGCGAAAAGTGGCGACGATTTCTGCGCATTTTGACGACACCAGATGCATCCAGCGTATTCATGCAGTTAGTAACAAAAATAAATAACGTGTGGGTAATTTTTGACTTTTTCAAGTGAATATTGACGAACGCACACACACAAACAGACACACAAACCAATTTTATTAATTTATTAAATTCGAACTTCCCGCATTTTTTTCTTCTTTCGCGCGTTTTAACACATTTTTTGAATCTTTTATAGATGTAGCTCCGCCCTTCCATACGGGCTGATTTGACGCTGTACCCTGGCTGTATTTCTCTAAACATATTCATCCGTCCATAAATGTCGGCGAGAATAAATTTACAGTATTAATGATTATTACATAAATCAGACGTGAGGTAATTAAAAATAATTAATAGCAGCCAATATAATTTTAGTCACCTTGTTGTATAAAATTTTATATTCACTGTACAGCGGTTTAACGACGTCGTTTCGACTAAATAACGAATTTAATTTTAGAGTCGTCATTCCTGCTGTAATTTTTGCATATTTTTCGAAACCACCATAAAAACGTTTTCCACCGGATGGGGATGCATTTTACTTTTGGATTTTTTGTGAGAAATGAAATAGCGTGAGGTTTATTCCTCCATTCAATCATCACTTTTATTGTTCCATAAAATGTATACGACACACTTTAAAAAGTTATAAATGTGAATTAATATTCAAAATCTTTTGTTGTCCTCGTAAAACGTAAAAATATTTCGAGCGGTTAATTTATCGGGGACAAGTATATAGCTCTTATGTCTGAAGCTGTAAACAGAAAAGTTAAACCACGATGCAGAGAGCAATGATTGTGATTTATATGGGAAATTCAGAAAAAATTCAAGAATTTTGACATTTTTGACACAATTTGAGGTTACATAATACCCAAAGAGTCTCAGATTTATTAAAATTTTGACAAATCGTAAGACTAAGAATTTTATGGGAGTTGTTCGCATCTCGTCGGTCTCACCAACACAACAGTCTAATTATTAATTTTTAGAATTTTACTTTGTGTGTAAGCGCTTTTTCAGTCTTTGGGTTTCATGATCTAGTTGGCAAAGTAAAACACCCCTAGTGTAAATTCAGCCACAAATTTACAAGATATTTATATATTTATATAAAAATAAAACGTGTCTGGTGATATTTATTTTATTTGATTTACTAATGAAAAACCGGTTTCTGTCGATTCAACGACTCCCGTTCCCCGTCTATATCGATAGGTATTTGACAAAATAAGCCCGTTAATGGCCGGAATCGAGTCGTTCACCATAAAAATATCCCCGTGCACCACCCTCGTTTTGTTTTACACCCCTAAGCTTCCTTCCTTAAATAAATATTTTTATAGAAAGAAATATTGATTCAATTTATCATGTAAATTGGCTCAAAGTCATCTCATTTGTATCTCTGTCGTCTCGTTATACGATTATTCCAGATTCAGATGGAATGACAGCTCATCACAAGCTTAAACCTGGATACTTATTTTTAACGAGAACGTTCGTTTCGTAACCGAATCGAATCTTGCTTCACTGGAAATTATTAACTAACATTGTACCTTCTTTCCTCACGTTTCGGCTTCAAAATTCAATTGAAGTGATGCCAAAAACGGTTTTGTTTTTCAGAATGTTGCCAAGACATTCTTAAAATGAGTTTCATTCGGTAATCTCGAGACTATATCGGATCGGAAGAAACTCGTATGCTTTATTTTGACGAAATCGTGTGGCTTCCGCTGCGTTTGGCACCGAAAACTAATCAGTGTAGTGAGTTTAAAAGCGATGGCTTGAGAGTTGGTGAGGTGTAGAAGAACGTAAACAGACACACAGACGCATGTAGTTCGACTTTAATATGGAAAACTTCAAAAGTTTCGCGATGCGAATTGTTCGCTATAAATAAAAAATAAATGCTGGGAGTTGGTTATTGATTTTATCTTTTCTCGGTTAATTTATGACTATTAGTATTTTACCAACTGAGAAACCGCATACACGTTTAACTCACAATTCTACACTACGTTTTATACATTTCCTGACAATTAAAATAATTTTATTTGTGCACTTTAAATGCTATACATAAACTCATTTCGAAATTATATGGTTTTATAAGGGTTTTACTACAGATTTATAAGAAATATTTTTCTTTTATTTATATTTGTTTACAAACAGAGTCTTGTAACACAGTTTAAAAC